GGATGGATGGAGGGATGGAGGGATGGATGGATGGATGGAGGGATGGATGGATGGATGGATGGATGGATGGAGGGATGGAAAAATGGATGAACACAAGGATGGACAGACGGATGGATAGATGGATGGATGGATAGATGGCAATGTGGTTGGGTAAGTGGATGGACGCATGGATGGATGGTTGGGCAGCTGGATGGACGTATGACTAAATGGACAGAGGGATGAATGGGTGGATGGTTGGTTAGCTGACTGGATGGACAGATGAACAAGGACAAGTGGGCAAAGAAGCACATAATCATGTCCTCACATGCTTCTCAACTCCCTGATGTAAAAGACGAGAACAAAATGAAACAGCTTGACACGGTGATTCACCTTCCATCAGCCCAGGATTAACCCCTGACTAACCAGAGCATGAGCTTCATGACAAAACTCACCTATGTACGGCCGCGTCAGCTCCCTGGGGCCACGCAGCCGTGCTCGGGGAGCCCAGACAAGGTGTCATGGCTGACTCAGGTTCCCATCAGCAAGGAGCACAAGGAGTGCATCACAGCTGGGTTCTGCCTGGACCTGCACGAGCAAGGAGCAGGAAACCTCCTGCATGCCCCAGCTCCTCCTGCTCCTCCTCCGGGAAAGGGAGGACAGAAGGGAGGAGGCCCCAGGAGAAGGAGGAGGCTCCAGGAGTGGGAGAACAGGAAGGAGGAGGCCCCATCCACACCTCCCCGCCAGCGCTGCGTGCTGGGGCAAAGCCGTGTGCGAGCAGAGAGCGCGGGACGCCATGGCCGAGCGGCTGTCGGAGGAGCAGATCGCCGAATTCAAGGAGGCTTTTTCCCTTTTCGATCGCGACGGCGACGGCTGCATCACCACAAAGGAGCTGGGCACCGTCATGCGCTCACTGGGGCAGAACCCCACCGAGGCGGAGCTGCAGGACATGGTGGGAGAGGTGGACGCGGACGGCAGCGGCACCATTGATTTCCCCGAGTTCCTCTCGCTGATGGCGAGGAAGATGAGGGACTCGGACAGCGAGGAGGAGATCCGCGAAGCTTTCCGCGTCTTCGACAAGGACGGCAACGGTTACATCAGCGCGGCGGAGCTGCGGCACGTCATGACCAACCTGGGAGAGAAGCTGACGGACGAGGAGGTGGACGAGATGATCAAGGAGGCAGATTGCAACAACGACGGGCAGGTCAACTACGAGGAGTTTGTGAGGATGATGACGGAGAAGTGAGCTTCGTCCCCAGCCCGCAGGTAACTCGTGCCCGGCCCCACGTGCTCTGAAAGCCATGGAATCAATTGCAGCGGCACCACAAATGTCTCATTCCCCACCCCTGACCACCTCCTGCGTTGCTGCTGATGGTTGGCGGTTGGAAAAATCAATGTTTAAGGTGCTTTTTAAAAATTTTTCCTTCTTTTTTTTTTTTTTTCATAGGGAAAACAGAGACCATGGCTGCCCCCAGCCCCTCCATCCCCTACTGCCTTCTCTCTGCCATCCTGGGCTGAAAAATGATCTTTTATCCCAACTGGAGCATCGCCAACCTACGTCTGTGTTGGATGCAGGAGAGGGCTTGGGTCACGACAGCTTGGCATGATGATAGACACTGGGGGGGGGGACCCTCCTGCTTCCACCCTCAAGATGTACCTCTTGTGTTCCCAGAGGTGACAGTGGTCATTGTGCATCCACGAGAAACATGCCGAGTCCAATAAAATGTCTCCCCTTGTCTACCAGTGCTTCCTTCTGCTTCGCTTTGAAACCACTGCTAAGAAACACCCTCAAAAAAGACACTGCCCTGATGAGGTGACAGGGATGGGGATGGGAACAGAATCGCCCCCATCCCTCTTCTCTCTGTTTTTTCACCCCGAAAGATGGAAAAATGCTCCCAGGGCTGCTCAGCACTCAGTTCCTGGGTTGTGGCCATCCCCATCCCATAATCCCATCCCTTTTGGAATCTGTTGGCTGAACCCATGTTCTGGCTTCTCCCAAAGGAAGGGCATTGAGGGCTCTTTTATCTCCCTCCCCATCCCAAGAGGAGGGTTGGTAGACCCCTGTTTCAAACAAGGCAGGACAGAATTATCTTAATCCACCCCACGATGCTGCCTTGACTCAGTTTCCCCACAAAGCAGGTGAAACTCCACTGCAGCAACTCTCCCGCCCTTGGGCTGGGAGGATTTCCTTTCTCTGTATGTAGGATTTGGAAAGAGAATTAATTGCAGCAGGTCTTATCAATGCTCCACCGCTACCAAGCAAGCAGAGCAGTGGTGAGAGCACGATGAAATCATTCCGAATGGGAAACAGCAGTTTTGGGTATGCACAACCAAACAGAAGGATCTCAACTTTTTTTTGGCAACCCCAAATGTTTTCCCAGCGTTGGGAAAAGCAGACAGGAACCTGCATGCTGGGAGGGCTATGTCAGCGCTGAGCGCACCCACGCTCACTCCACCCCAACCCAGCAGCACCAACGCTGATGCTTTCACCACAAGCTCCCCTCTTGCTCACACACACAAGAAACAGAAAACATGAAAAGAGGCAAAATCAACCCCCCCCAAAAAAAAAGAAACCAATCCAACACCATCGAGATAAGCCAAGGGGTCACAGCAGGCTGTGGTATCCAAAGTGCCTAAAATTAGACCTTCCTGAAAAATGTGGTTATTTATGAATGCTTCAGAGACAAAACTGTGCGCTGTATTTTTAGGGCTGACCTTTTCTCCTTCTATTCTGGGGTTGTTTAATTACCAGCGAGTTTTCGCACTGATCATCCTGAGCTGTTTTTCTTAATGATAGCCTTTAAAGGGAGGATGGACCACAGCCAGGAACGTTGGCCCTGCATTCTCATCATCAATTTTCATCCCGTGGAAAATGCCCGTTTTCCCCATTTTTCCTCTAATTTGAACTCATGGAAGCATGGTGAGGTTTTTCCATTGCCAACACTAAGGATCATTCAAGGGCAGCGAAGTGGGACTTGGGGGGTCAGTAGGAATGGCTGTTGGGAGATCTAGGATCCTTTGGGAGAGGATCTGGTAAACCCTTTAACATGGAACCTGGATGGGGATCACTTAGGGTAGGACGTTGGAATCACGTGGTGTGGTTGCTTGGTGGGGGATCATCTAGGATGGGAGCTGGGGGATCCCTTGGGATAAGACCTGGGGGATGATCTAAGAGGGGATTTGAGATCCAATGGGATGTGACAGGAGGAAGCCTGGCTGATTACGTGGAGTGGTACAGCTGGGATGGGTATCCTCCAGGACGGGGCTTATGGGATTGCTTAAGATAGGATCTGGGGGTTCATATGGGGTGGCAAATGGGGAATGACATGCGATGGAGCTTGAGGGATCAGCTGGGTAAGACCCAGGGGTTCATCTCGGATGGGCCACCTACAATGGAGGACCCCATGGAATAGGACCCACCCCATGGAATAGGACCCAGAGGATCCCTTGGAATAGGACCTGGGCAACTGAGGGATCTCATTCCTGCCCTGATGTGAGCTGAGGGTCACCTCTCCCCCAAAAATCCCATAGGGACTCCCTGCAGTGGTGAGAGGCTGACAGCCCAACACCCCTCTTCACTGTGTCCCCATTTTCCTGCATCCTGTGGCACTGGACAATTTATCTCTAAAATGGGGGGACTGTTTTTTTTTTTCTCTTTAAAACGATGGGATATAAGCAACCCCAAAACCTCCCAGCATCTTCAACCAAGGGAGCGGGAGTTGGGAGGTGCTTCAGCTCTGGTGCTGCTGTATCAGACCCAAACTCCCCCCAGATATTCATTCTATCAAAAGAGGCATTTAGATAACATTTCAACCACGGGGTTGTAAAAACACAACAAGTAAATGGTGAGGAACAACCCTGCAGCTCCATCTCCAGTGCAGAAGGAATGGGGAACTGTGCTGAGCACTTCCAAAGGATGTGAAAAAAGGAGGATGTGAAAGAATGAGGCTGCAGAAAAGGAACGTTGTAGAAAATGGGAGTGCTAACAAGTGGGGAAAAGTCCTTTTGTGCAGCTCCAAGCTGGCAGGGAGAGGGGTGCCCACAGGAACTGGGTTGAGTTCATAGAATAGAATCACAGAAACACCAAGGCTGGAAAAGACCTCCTAGATTACCCAGTCCAACCATCTACCTACCACCAATATTTGCCCACTAAACCACATCCCTGATGATCTCTAAGGTCCCTTCCAACCTAAGCCAAGTGTTATCCTTATGGGACCTGAAGATGGGACAAGTTGGATCAGGAAAGAGAATGTGGGACCTGAAGAGGGGACAAGAAGTTTCACCACTTCAAGGGTGAATGTCGCCCGTGTTAGGCACCAAGGGAATACGCTGGGATTTGGCTTTATCAGCCAAAAAAAAAAGTAGCTCTGTGCAAGAAATCCTGCAAGAGTTAATGGAGTTGGGGAAGTGGCCACTACTGGTGCTGCTCCAGGCTCCATCCCTGCACCATTGGGGCATTTAATGGGAAATAAATCATGCTGTGAGCTCAACCACCACCACTTCATGCTGGGAGGCCTCCAGAACAGGGGGAGATTTGGGGCTTTTTCCATCTTTTCTTCCCATGGCATCAGGAGGGCCCATCTATCCTCTCCTTGCCCATTACACAAGGGCCATCCAGGCTTGCACAGCTTTCACTCATTTCCCTTTTTTCTCCTCCAAACACTTGTGTAAAGCCTTTGACACGGTCCTGTACCACATCCTTATTTCCGAACGGGAGAGATTTGGTTTTGAAGGGCGGATAAAGAGCTGGTTGGATGGTCGTAGCCAAAGGGCTGTGGTCAATGTCTCCGTGTCCAGGTGGAGCTGGTGACGAGTGGTGTCCCCCAGGGGTCCATCTTGGGATCTGTGCTCATCTTTATCAGTGACACAGACGGTGGGATCGTGTGCACCCTCCTTCCAACCCCAGCTATTCTATGACTCAACATTACCATCACTACATCGTTAAAAGGCATTTTAATGGCTGTGCAGGAAACCTCAGCTTATGCCTATGGACAGGCGCCATCTTCTTGCAGGCAGCTGCAAAATCACTTTTTCCCTTTACACGACAGAGGTAGGCGATGAATTGGGTGTGAGAAAGCTCAGGTAAATGCTGGAGATCTTCAGTATTCTGTCATGTTTATTTTTTTTTTTAATGAAGAGGTAGAAGGCGTATTTCATGCCCGTGCTTGCTTAGAGCATGGTGCAATGCACATCCAAAGGACACTGAAGGGCTTTGTTTGCTGCTGCTGAGATTTGGGCTTTGAATGCGTGAAGCGCCCTGAAGACATTAAATAAAAAATGAAGAAACTGTGTTTGTGCTCTTCCACTCCCCACCCACGGACTCTATGATCTACAAGAGTAACATTCAACTATTCTGTGATTCTATGACTCTATGATTCTTTAAGCTGAGAATCTACAACGTTTTCCCTGCAACTCTGAGCACAATTCCTTCATTCATGCAGGGGGAGGAAGAAGAATCCCCCCCACTTCTTCCAGGCAAAGCAATGGTTGTGTGCAGTACAAGGAGTTAATTCTTTGGAGCCATAAGGTTTTCTTCCAAGGCACCAGCTTGAGTCACACCTTGTTTTTTCTGGATTAACTTCATAAAGTTGGTGGGAAGCTGCTACGATCGAGTTCCCCGCTGGAGAGCAAGCAGCAAGCATCAGGAACAGCAGTGTGCTGTTTGCACCTGGACTCCTCCAAATACTGGGCGGAAGCAGGGCTATTTTGGAGCACTGGAAGCGTAACAGAGGTAGAAGGCAGGAAGGAGAAACCCGCAGGAGAGAGGAAGAGGATTGAAATGGTAAACTGGAGGTGCAGTTTGGGGCTTGGGTTCTTCCTTGGCTCTGGGAGCCCAGGAAGGGCATGGCTGAAAGCAGCACAGACCTGGAGTGTTTGGGTTTGTTTGCGTTGGGTTCAAGCCTTGATTTGACATTCAGATTAAAGAGTGAAAGAACTCAAATTACAGCCAGAACTGACATAAAAATAAAAGCAAAGGGTGTAGCCCCAGCAGAGCCAGCTGAGGAGTTGCACAGAACTGAGATTCAGACCACCTCCTTCCTTTTCAGCACTCCCCAAACTCTTTGCCAACCCATAGGTACCGAAAGCAGCACTGGCCAGTCCCTATAAACTCAGTGTGAATTGAGGTTTGGGGACAGTCCAAGTTTTCCAGCCCCTGTTGGTCCTGCCAGTTGGGAAGAGCAAGAGAAGAGCAGATGTGGCACGGAGGGACATGTGGCACGGAGGGGATGGGTTGATGGTTGGACTTGATTATCTTAGCTGTCTTCTCCAACCTTAATGATTCTAAGTCACACAGATGAGATGCATACAGCTTGCAGCACATAAGGCCACCTTGGGCCCTTCTTTCTTAGACATGTAAGAGAAACAGTGCAAAAATAACCAGAGGAGCCCATCCAAGCCCCTTACACTGATGCTGCCAAAGAGGGTTAAAAGCATCATCACAGCTCCCAGAGCAGCTGGCAATTCATTACCTGCAGTGTGATGCTACATGAGACAGCAGGACAACTTGATGGGACAGTGTGCCACATCTATGCTCTCCATGAAGTCTTGTGGGTGATTCCAAGTCGTCCACATGTGTCTCACATCAAGCAGAGCTGTGCAGCAATGCTCTGGGGATGGATCAGCAAAAGCAGAGCACTGAGGATGGCAATTTGTAGGTCAGAACAGACTGCAATATAAACATTACCCCTCTCATCTAGCTTAGATGCCCACTTTAGGGCAACACTACCTTCAAAGCTTCTGATTTTCATTTTAATTTGGGGTTGCTGCAGAGATTTCCAGCTGTCTAGGAAATCTATACCTGCAGCCAGGGTGACTCTGTTACTCCTGCAGGAAATGCCCCCAAAAATTGCAGTCCAACATATTAACAGAAGCCAAAACTTTGCATTGGTTTAACCTTGCATTTACTTTGTCTTTGAGCTGTAAAATGCAATGGCTCAGAAGATGTCTCACAGCCAGCTGAGAAATCCCTGCAGGATTTAAGGAACTGAAGGCTGGATAGGATGGATAAAAGATTAAGAGCATCACCGTGGTCTCAGGTCTGCATCCATCATCAGGGTCTCTTAAAACCAAACTTCACAAACTTACTGTGGAGGAAAAAAAATGAAGATGACAGAAAAAGGAACTGGTCATTTTATTCTTGGCTGTTCCAGGAGCCTTTTGTACACTGGAAGCTTGGATTTTACCATCTCACCACTTCACCAGCTTAAGCTACGTTAAAAAAGCAGTGAGGGATTTGAGTTGGAATCAAGAGGAAGGGTTTTCATCCCAGAATACTGAAAGGTGGGTGCTTTCCTAATACAGATTTACCTGTAAGGACAAGCATTTGAGGCAGAGGAAGCTTGTGTTGAAAGATATAATACAAAACCTTTATCTTAACAACCACAGGGGTGAACTCCGCTCCAGAGCTTCCCTGAGCTTCTTGGCAACTTCACATTTCTTCTGTGGCAAACATAAAACTCTGGATAGAATAATAAACAGATAATCCCATAAAAAGCACAGTCTCAGAAGGTTTCCTGTCCCAGTTCTGCACGGTATCACATTGCAAAAAAAAAGAAGAAAAAAAAAAAAAAGCAACAAATGGGTGTGTGGGGATGGGCATAACCAAAAAAAAATCTAAAAAATAATAATTTGCTGGTCATCATTAAAGTGCATTCAGTTCCATTTCAGCTCTTGAACTCTGTGCTTGTGCTATTTTGCCCTGTCATGGTAGCTGCAGACAGAAGGCAAGCTACCATTCATCCTGCACAGCATGAAGGATGTTGAGAGCCCTGAGTTCTCTTGATCCCACGTCAGTCAGAGGATTTCTTGACCTTTACTGTTATTTAGAAGAGGAATTTGCTCTCATCACAGCGCTAAGGACCTGCTGCCAGAGAGCTCCATCCCTTTCACCCTGTGGTATGGAACGTCTCATCTGGAAGGAAGATGACAATTTTGGCTCTGCTCATATAAATGTCACCCTGGAGGTTTAAATCATCCAAGTACAAAGCTGCAAAGCACCTGCTGGAGCCAAGAGACTCGAGCACAACACTCAGCAGCACAGCACTCCTGCTGCCAACCTCCATGAGGTTCCAGAACCAAGAGACAAACTCAGAAGGGAAAAAAATCCCAAATCCCAGGGCAGGGCCCTACTATTGCCTCTCACATGTGGGTCAATGCCACAGGGATTAGGTGTACCACTGCTTAAGGGATGTGCCCTTGCCATACAGAGCTCTGTACTTTGGGCAACACTGGGCAACACATCTGCCTCTTATTGCACTTCAAAGCAACAAATAGGTCGCAGTGGCTCAGTGAAAGTGGAAAATATTCTTTGGGACCAGCTGTCTGGAAGAAAGCTCTTCCTGGGACATGCAGACAGACCTGTCTCCTGCTTGGGCTTCAAGGGGAGACATAAAGACATCCTATAGGAACATGACAGTGCAAGCTGGCTCACCTTCAGCAAGGACTGGGGACTTCATTTGCCTCCAGCTGGAGCACACAGGTCACTCAGGACTTGTTACTTGGCACTGACAGTTATCACTCCAGTTAACAGAAAGGTGGGCTCCAGTGTTCCCAATTCAGAGACACGCACATCCATAAGCAGACTATCACCTCCAAATCCCTTTGCAGGCAGTGGGAACAGGTGTCCCAAAGAAGCTGTGTATCATCCAAACACAGGCATCTAAAACAGGAGGGATGAATCATGCTCTGGAAGTATCTATTTCTCTCCACTGCCTGCAAAGGGAGTCTGGCTGGATCGTACAGAGATGTGTTTAGGTTGGAGACAGCTAAAATTAGGCAAGATAAATCCCATGCACAGAGCAAGCACTACAGCCTGAAATGCAGCGACAGTCAAACAGAACACCCTGGGAGAGGCTGCAGCTCCAGAGCAGCACTACACCTTGCCTAAGGTTGTCTGTGCTCAAACAATTCCTCACAGAGAAGAGGAAGGGATGGGAAACGCTGCCTCATAAATACTATTTACACCAGTTTGCTTAAATTAAAACTCATTTCTTGTGGGGAGGTAGAAGAGAAAGAGATGGATACTTCATGTTGTGCAGTCAGTGTCCTTCCCAGCCACCTTGGTGCCTGTCAGTTGTAGGACAGGTACTGGATTAACCTCTGAGGGATGTTGAGTTTGGCAATCTTCTCCAGCGCTCGCTGCCCAGCAGCCCTCCTCACCGTTACTCTGCAGAGCTGTGACAGACTCAGAGGTGTTTCTAAACGGAGAAAAGAGGACACAAAGTTAATGCTGCAGCTCAGCAGATGGCTGAGTGTCCATCTGTGCATGCACTGAATCATCTGCTGTGGTCCACAGGTGCCATGCAAGACTCAGATTGCCCTCAGATTGCAGTGAGCCTCAGCAATGGCACACGTAGGAATAAAACCTACTTCCAGCACTGCTTTACTGCTTTGCTTCTCCACCTGAGGGCTACATCGACTGTCTGCTCTGCTCAGAGCTCCAATAAAGTGTTTGATCCCCTCCCAGACAGCCCCAATCTGCAGCCTCCACCCCAGACGTCGATGCCTGCATGCACGTGCATGGTTATGATCAGGCACTTTGCTCTGGATGGAGCTAAGCAGCTGCTGTCCCTACAATCACATCCTCAATAACCAGCAGCATCCAAGATCACCATCTGTCCTGAATTTAATGATGCAAGCTGCAAAAAAATAATACTATTAGAGTTGTCACAGTACTGTTACAACAATATGTGTTAAAAAGCAGCTAGACAGGCAGTTCTGCCAGCTGAGTTGTCAGGGCAGTAAACTCTAACAAGGTATAACAATTATTTATGGCACTGTAGAGCTCAGCCTCTTTACCCAGATCAGCTGCAGCCAGAACAGCACGCTTTGCTGCAACCCGAGAGCAATTCAGAGAGACTCCTATAAGAGAATCATCAGTCTTAAGGTGCTCACTACAAAAAGGATTGCATCCACAGCCTCTCTGGGCAGCCTGCTCCAAAGCTCCTCACCACTCTCTGTAAAGAACTTGCCCCTGATATCCAACCTAAATCTTCCCTCCTTCAACTTCAAACCATTTCCTCTTGTCCTGTTGTTATCTCATAGTTGACTCCTCTCCTGTTTGTAGGCTCCCTTTAGGTACTGAAGGCTGCAGTGAGGTCACCCCACAGCCTCCTCTTCTCCATGCTCAACAAGCCCAGCCTGTCTTTGCAGGATGTGCTGCAGCCCTCTGCTCATCTCTGTGGCTCCTCTGGCCCCTCTCCAACAGCTCCCTGTCTTTCTTGCACTGGAGGCCCCACACCTGGACGCAGTGCTGCAGATGGGGCCTCAGGAGGGCAGAGCAGAGAGGGACAATGCCCTCCTGTCCCTGCTGCCACCCCTCTGCTGATGGAGCCCTGGATCCCATTTGCTTTCTGAGCTGTAAGAGCACACTGCTGGCTCACATTCAGTTTTCCACCCACCAGGACCCCCAGGTCCTCCCCTGCAGGGCTGCTCTCAAGGACTGCTCCTCCCAGTCCGTAGGGATGCCTGGGATTCCTCCAGCCCAAGTGCAAAACCTTGTACTTTTAGTGCAATAGCACTGGCAGCCACTGAATTCCCAGGGCAAGGGATCACATTTCACTCACTTTCATAGTACTCAAAGCATTTTGCTGTGGGACTGCTTCTCAGGGTGTAATCTGATGGCTTCTTTCCTCTGTTGTCTCTTGCGTAGATATTTCCTCCAAACTCAATCAGCATCTCCACCAGATCCACGTTCTTCACTTTTGCTGCATGGTGGAGGGCTGTCTCGTGGAGTTTAGCAGCATTCACATTCGCCCCTGAGACCAGAAAGGAAAACAAACCTGTTTATGAAAGCCTCATTTGACCCAAATGTTAAGGAGTGGTTTTAAGTAGGGAACAAAATCCTATTAACACAAGTATGAGTGGCTAGAAAGAGATCCAAACCAAACACTACAAACAGGAAACCATACTGCTGAACAAGTTCTCAGTGCTGCCAGTGCATGAGTTTTCTTCTCTGGCTTCGTTTTCTTTGTAGAGAAAGGATTTTAGTCAATGTTACTGAGTAAATAAACTGCTAAGTGTGAAGTTCAAAAGTGCTTCCTGAACCTATGCTGCCTGAAGCCATTCCCAGTCACCCCAGTGGAGTGCTCACACACAAACAGTGATGTCCTTGTTAAGCACTGGATGTAGAAGCTTGCCATCAGACACTACTGCAGGATCAAGTCTTTTCTGGGGAATCAGTCAGTCCAATCTGAAGGTGGGTGCCCAAAACAAGGAGCTGGAGGGATAGAAAACAGATTGGCTTAGCTACAGAAGTTCTAGACAACTAACACTGAAAAAGCCAAATCCTCCCTGGGTCAAATCACTTCATGGTAAGCACGGGCAAATACAAGAAGCCCAGTTCCAAGTGAGCAGCATGAAAATGAAATCTGGAGTTGTGTAATGCTGACTTGAAATCCAGCAAACTCACCTAGGTATAACACTAAGCAGATCTCCCAGAGGCATGAGGTGACCTCATCTCTGCTTTCTTGCACAACATCAAACCCTGACATCTCTCTCTAAGATTTATGCAAGGCCATACGACTGTGTCAACAAAACTGAAAGTGTGTATTCTAGCTGCTATCACTGAAATGTTGTTCCAGGGGGCTACAGGGGTGCTGATTTTCATTGAAAAAAGGAGAATGGAATGAAGCTTTGCCCGACTGAATGCCAAACTTTCCTCCTTTACCATCTTTGCCATGCTGGGAATGAATAAGCTCTTGGGCAAGAGCGTCATAGTGGGGCACCAAAAGGGAAATGCTGCACACAGTCAGCCCAAAACAAAGCCCACAGCTGCCCTACCTGCCTTAAGCAGCAACTTCACACAGTCCAGATGCTCCCGGGCACAGGCCACGTGTAGGGGTGTCCCAAAATGGCAGTCGTGAGCCTCCAAGTTGGCACCGACGTCTATGAGGAGTTGCACACAATCTGAGCTGCCTTTAGAAATAGAAGATCTGAGTCAAAAGGAAGAATCCAGCTCAAATGGATGAGATCAGCTTGAGGCAGGAGCAGCTTGTTTAATATTTGAGGCGATGGGTGCAAAATAGAAACACTTGTGAGCCAGATGCTATACCATAGGACAGAGGCTGAGAAAAAGGGCACAAGAAACAGCTACATCTGCACAGCATTAAGCTAGAGCTAATGATCAAACCAACGTGATTCCGAGGGCTGGCACTAAGCAGCCTGTGGTTTGCAGAATTGGTTGCATGGCTGAATTAGCCCAGGGTGGATGAGATCACCTTCGAGACCACAACAGCCTTCATTTTTCCATGTGACTTAAGGCACTCAGCAGCACAGTCTTAGGAAAAAGGCTCAACAGGAGAAAATGAAGCAGGAGCTGACAATTTACAATGGCTGCTGCAGTTTTCCTCTCTTGAGAAGATGGTGTTTTATCTGCCTAAGATCTGATCCCCTGCCCGTCACGTGGGAATAAAGCACCCAACACAAGGGGCTGCTTTATTCCCCCAGCACCACTGTGCTTTGCATTCTGAGTTCATTTTCCAAGCTGCAAATAACTGTGCAAGGATAAAACCATGCCAGCTTACCGTTCATGCAGGCTTCATGAAGAGGGGATGCTGTGTACAGGGGAGGGTTCACTTTGGCACCATGGGACAGCAGCACTTTCACACACTCAATGCTCCCTGAGGCACAGGCATCACAGAGTGGAGTGCTGCCATCAATATTCCTGGCATCCACCTCCAAGGAAGAAGAAATCATAGAATCATAGAATGGCCTGGGTTGAAAAGGACTGCAATCATCATCCAGTTTCAACCCCCCTGCTGTGTGCAGGGTCACCAACCACCAGACCAGGCTGCTCAGAGCCACATCCAGCCTGGCCTTGAATGCTTCCAGGGATGGGGCACCCACAACCTCCCTGGGCAAATGTTACATGCTCACCTTACGTGAGCTGCTGTGGAGGAGCACCCTCTTGACTACATTTTTAATGTTATTACCCCTAGCACTGTCCTGAGCTCAGGAAATAGTTGTTGACACTCCCAGCATCCTGGCTGGTGCTGTTTCTATAGCTCCCAGGGTGTGTTAACGTCACAGAATCATAGAATGGCTTAGGTTGGAAGAGTCATCATATCATAGAATCATCACAGAATGGCCAGGGTTGGAAGGAACCTCAAGGATCATGAATCTCCAACCCCACTGCCACATGCAGGGCCACCAACCTCTCCATTTAATACCAGACCAGGCTGCCCAAGGCCCCATCCAACCTGGCATTGAACACCTCCAGGGATGGACGGGGCATCACAGCCTCTCTGGGCAGCTGTTCCAGCACCTCACCACTCTCTTTGTGAAGAATTTGCCCCTGACATCCAACCTAAATCTCCCCTCCTTCAATTTCAAACCATTTCCCCTTGTCCTGCTGTTATCTACCCTTCCAAAGAGTTGAAGAAGACCATCAAGCTCCAACCTCCTGCCATGCACAGGGTTCCTAGCCAATAGATCAGGCAGCCCAGGGACATCCTGAACACTTCCAGGGATGTAAAAAACAGCTACCACAGTTTAGGATGTTCCCTCTCTCCTAATGCTTCCCTGTTGCTCTCCTGTTGACCATTACCAGTGCTGCAGCTGAGCCAGCACAGCACGATGTACAAGTACTCCTTGTCTGTGCCAGTGCAAAGTCCTGCTTTGTGATGGGCTGAATGTGCAATGAGGAGCACAGCACACACACGTGATCAGTTTCACCAGGTTCACTCTGAGGACAGCCAACCTCAGCGTGTGAGATGTCACAATCCACTGAAGACTGTTTCAGCAGATTCTTTTCTGTGTAATAAAACTAAAGTAAGAAGAGAAGAAACTTAAGCCTAAATCCAATCATGTTCCCCACTCCACTCTTAGCCTTATGATGACAGAATCGTTTGAGTTGGAAGGAACCCTGAAAGGTCACCTAGTCCAACTTCCCTGCAATGAACAGGGACACCTAGAGCTCGATGAGGTGCTCAGAACCCCATCCAGCCTGACCTTCAGCATCTCCAATGACGGGCCATCCACCAGCTCTCTGAACCCTGACTCATCCCAGCTGGCTTTAGGTACTTGAGTCCTCTCAATTAGATTACCCCAGGCTCTGCCAATAGTCAGCATGGAGAGTGGGGGAGAGAACAATCTCCAGGTGGTTGTTTAAATCTCCCACAAGTTCCAATACCCTCTGAAGAGGTGTGCCTCCCTTTGCTGACTATCAGGAAAGCCCAGGATGACTCAGGCTGCCTCTTCACAAAAATCACAGGATGTTTTCATTTGGAAGGGTCCTTTAAGACCAAGTTTCAGCCCCCCTGCTATAGGCAGGGACACCTCCCTCTTAGATCAGGTTGCTCAAAGTCTCTCTTCGACCAGGTTGCTTAAAATTCCACCCAGCCTGGCTTTGAATGCTACCAGGGAGAGAGCATTCACAATTCTTAATATACCAACAAAATGTTCAGAGCCAGATGGAGTGAATCCAGACCCCTGAAATAAAATCAGACATCAAAACAAAGTGGACTTTAAGGCACTGTTTTTCTAGGTTAGGACAAAACCTGGCTCTGAGCAGCCTGATTGAGCTGTAGGTGGCCTTGCTTACTGCAGGAGAGTTGGACTGGATAATCTTTAAGGGTCCTTTCAAACTCAAATGATTCTACAATTCTGTGGACATCATCTTACAACAGTACTTGGGGCTCCTTTTGATCTCAGTGCAAGGTGAGAGCGTAGCTACAGCACGGACCATATAATCACAGAACAGCCCAAGCTGGAAGAGATCTACAAAGATCATCAAGTACAGCAAGTGCCCATCTACAGCATGGTGGCTTGGTTTCCACGTGGATCACAACTGAGCACTCACTTGGGCCCCTGCAGCCAAGAGGAGTTTGACACACTGCGTCTGCCCTCGCAGGCTCGCCTCGTGCAGGGGGGTGATGGAGTCGTAGGTGACGGCGTTGACGCAGGCTCCGTTCTCTATCAGCTGCTGCAGCTGAAGGATTTCTCCCTGCCTGGCTGCTTCGTGAACCGGGGTTCGATCAACCCAGAAGCCTACAGAGGAAAAAAAAGAGAAATGATTTATTATTATTATTATTATTTTTAAATCCACGTGCAGAGGAGATTCTGCGCTGGAGAAAAGCAGCTCTGCTGGAATGGGAAAACAGGCTCGTAGATTCACAAATACAGATTGGCTTGGGTTGGAAAAGACCTTAAAGATTATATAGTTTCACACCCCTAAGAAGAAAGAGATGGGAATTAAAAACTCATTTCTTACTGTATCCCCAATCCAGCATGCAATGCTTTGCACTGGGGGCTCTCCATTGGGCTGCTCATAATGCTGCATTCCCTTCCAGTATTTGCTTGAAGCTTTCCTCCACAAACAAACCCTCCAGCAGGTTTAGATTCACCCCATTGTGTTCACACCTAACCAGCACCAGGAGCAATGTCCTTCCTGGCTCCAGCTAAAATCACTGGAAATGGGATATCAACGATGGGAAAAGCACAGTCCCACCTATTTTCACACTTCCTTCAGTAAGGTAAGCTTGTCCTCTCTACAAAGACACATACCTCAGTGTTCTGCCAAAGCAGGGTTCATAGGAGCAGTCTGGTGCTGCTTGCTTTCAGGTCAATGACAACAACAATTGGCAAATGACACCTTAAAACTACAGCTCCTCCCAAACTACCTTTCTGTAGAACCTGTTTCAAGGCAAGCACTCACAGCTGTGGAATGGGAGAGAAAGGGCAGAGATGAGCAGAAGCCTCAGTTTATACAATTTTGAGGATGATTTCATAGAAATGTTTGAGTGGGAAACGACCCTTAAAGGCCATCCAGTCCAACTGCTCTGCAATGACCTGCAGCTCCATCAAGTGCTCAGAGCCCCATCCACCCTGACCTTGATGGATGGATGGAGCATCCACCTACTTTCTGGGCAACCTGTTCCAGTGCTTTATTACCATTCCTGTAAAATACTTTTTTCCCCCTTATCTCTCATCTAAATCTCTCCCTCTTGGCATATTCAGCCTGTTTCTTGGGGAGATTTAGGAAGACCTTGCACTTGGATTTATTGAACCTCACGAGGTTCTCCTGGGTGCACTTCTTGAGCTGTCTGGGTCTCTCTGGATGCTATCCCATCCCTCAGGCATGTTGACTGCACAACACAGCTTGGTGTCATCTGCAATCTTGCTGAGGGTGCACCTGATGGCACCACTGATGTCCTTGATGAAAATATTAAGGAGCCCCAGTCCCAGCACTGACCCTGTAGGACAACACACATCACTGATCTCCATCTGGACACCACAGCGTTGACCACCACTCTCTAAGCACAACCCCATCACCACCAAAGGGTCCACCCATCAAATCCAAATCTTTCCCACGTGGAGTTAAAGGCTCATAGAATCCTTAGGGTTGGAAGGATCACTAAGATCACCCAATCCAACCATCAACCCATGCCTTCAGTGCCACATCTCCATGATCTTTCACCACCTCCAGGGATGGTGACACCCCCCTCCTCCCCCCCTCATCCCCCCGCCTCCCTGGGCAGCCTGTTCCAACCCCTGACCCCTCTTTCAGAGAATAAACTGCCTTTAATACCCAACCTGTGCCTCCCTGGCACATCTTAAGGCCATCACCTCTCGCCCCACCAGCAGTACAGTATCTCCCATAGGACGGTTAATCAGGGCCCCATCGCTCCCCTCCCTTCCCTGACCCCAAATCCTCCCCAAAACACAAAACAACCGCCCTCTTTCCTCCCCTCCACACAGCCCATCCCTGCTCCCCCGGCCCCACGCACTGATGTCACCCCGCAGCGAGCCGCTGCCCCCGGGGATCGCCATAGCCCCAAAAGCGCCGGGGACGATCCGGTGTTCAGCGGTCCGCCCAGGAACCGCCCCACGCTCCGCCCCGCAACGCACCGGGGGACGCTGGGAGACGTAGTGCGGGGGGAGGAGAAAAGGGGGCACTGGTGTGCATGGGGTGAAGGGTGTGCTGGAATGGGGAGAGGGAGGGTTGGTGTATAGGGGGGGACTGATGTGGGGGGAGAGTTGTTACTGCGAGGACTGGTGTGTGTGGGGTCAGGGAGAGGGGACTGGGGTCAGTGGTGCGGGGTGAGAGGGAGTACTGGGGTCACTGGTGTATAAATGGTAGTGATGTGGGGAGGGGTAAGGGGTACTGATGTGTGGGGAGAAGGGGGTACTGGAGGTACTGGTGTGGGAAAAAGGAGGAGTGGTGTGTGGGGAGAGAGGGGATTGGGATCAGTGGTGTGGGGTGAAAGAGGATTGGGATCAGTGGTGTGGGGTGAGAGGGGGTACTGGAGAGACTGGTCTGTGGAGAGAGTGACTGGGGTCACTGATATGTGGGGAAGGGGGCATTGAAGGGATTGATGTGGGGAGTGAGGGGTCTGGGGTCACTGTTGTGGGGTGAGAGGGGTACTGGACAAACTGGTGTGTGGGGAAAAGGATGCTAAAGGGGCTGGTTTGTGTGGGGAGAGGGGGATTGGGGTAACTGGTGTGTGTGTGGGGAGAGAAGGGGACTGGGAGGACTGGTCTGTGGGGAAGGGGGCACTGAAGGGGTTGATGTGGGAAGAGGAATCTGGGGTCACTGCTGTGTGTGTGGAGTTGGAGGACTGGGGTCACTGGTGTATGGAGAGAAATGTCTGGGAGGATGAGTGTGCAGGGAGGAGGGGGGCTGAAGGAATTGATGTGGGGAGACAAGGACTGGGGTCACCGGTGTGTGGGGAAAGGGGCAGTGGGAGGACTGGTGTGTGTGGGGAGAGGGAACAGCGGAGACTGGTGTGGGGAGAAGGGCAACTGGGGGAACTGGTGGGGAGAGGGAGGTGCTGGGGGAACTGATGTGCGAGGAGAGGGTTTCTAGGTGGACTGGTATATGGGGAGAGGGGATACTGGGGGCACTGGTGCAGGGGAGTAGGGGTACTGGTGTATGGAAGGTACTGTTGTGTAGGGAGAGAGGGGACTGGGATGTGGACAGAGTGGTTTCTAGGGGGACTGGTGTATGGGGAGAGGGGGTACTTGAAGGCACTGGTGTGAGGGGGCTTGTTGGGGGAAGTGGTGTAAGTGGGAGAGGTTACTGGGGGCCCTGTGTGTACTGGTATGTATGAGGCACATGTTTGTATATGTATGTTTGGGGGAGTTCTTGCAGCAAAAAGAAGTTTTGGGGGTGCTGGAGGGGGTAGGAAGAGCACTGGGGTAGAAGTGGGGCAGCTGGGATGTGGTGTATACCACAAACGTGGAGGTTCTGGCATGGAGCGAGCTGCTCTTCGTCACCAGGACCAAAGCAAGTTCCTCATTAATTAAGTAATTGATTGTATTACCTCCTGGAAACAGCACGTCACACATGGAGTGTAGAGCTGGGCTTCTGGCCTCTCTGTTGGCAGATTTAATGGCTTGTATAAAGGTATGAGCTCACTGTTTTTTTTTCTGGTCCTGCGTATGCAATGTTAGAGCCAATGGCTGTTCTGCAAAAGGCACACATAGATTAAAAACAGCAGAAACAAAAGCACAGAAAGGTGATTTGTCACAGATTTCAATAAGAAATCAGTGAGAAGCTGAAAACGAACCCTGAATCCCTTCAGTCCCACTTGATGTACACAGCAGAGTGCAACACCCCCCATCTTGGAAATCTTTATGTAAAGCTTCCTAAATAACTGTGCTCACACAGAGGCAGCAGCAGAACCTGCAGCCACGTACCCAGCTGATGAAACCACTGATAAATTGCTGGTGTTTCAGTGCCACAGGAGGCAAATGCAGTATCAGCTCACATGCTGCAGGCACACAGCTGCAAGCACATCCCTTCCTTCAGTTCAGGAGCAAATTGCTGATCAGTTTCACAGGACAAGCCACAGCAGCCATGCTGCAGGAGGAGCGTGTTGCACTGGGGTCATGCATATAAGCAGCACTGCCCTAAATTCTTGCACACTTTTCTCTGCTTCACTCATCTTGGCAGCCAGGATTAAACCACAGTGTTGTGTAATACACATCTCATACCTTCCCCTCCTGCTCTGTCCCTTAATTACAGCTTTTTGCATTAGAGATGTAGGAAAAAGAACCCAGGCTGTGCTGTTGTCTACTATTCATCTCCATTTTTTTCTTCCCCTGAGAGTGAAGTTCCCCCTCATGTACTCATGGCCAGAAATACAAAGCATTTATTGTCCTAATTCCCAATTATTTAGGTAGCTGAGTAAGAAGATTTGATGCCTGTATGTTTCTTTTTGCCCTGGCCCAAAAGAGAAACCAGACCTGCTTCTGCACGGGCAAGGAGTTAAATTTGCATGCTGGTTTGAGAAATGCAACTTGACTCCGTGCTTCCTGTGCTGCAGGCTCAGAATACTGGCACCTTCATTTTGCTGGCTTTGTCTGCAGCTTGGACCTGTGCCATGTTGATAGCATCGTTAACCTTTTCTCATTTACATCCAGGTCTGGAAGGAGGGAGTGTGTGTGTCTGTTGTCACGTGTGTCCTCCTTCCCCCTTGCATCCTCTCAGTCTTCCTCTGCTATTCTTTCCAAAGTGCTGGAGGCAAATTAACAAAGAGATACAAGGAATGGATTAAAAACAAAGACCCCTCACCCCCAAACAATCTGCAGGAGCAGATCTGCAAGGAGAACTCCTCCCTCTGAGGGCAGATCCTGCAGGATTCCTTCCTTCCAGCCACGCTCCTGCAGTTGCTGCTCGTTCATTTTGCAGTTTTGTGGGTGTCCATCAGGAGGCTGTGAGCTGAGGAGCACCTGTTTCCTCTTTCCAACCACAGCTGCATCAAGTCTGAAACCAGAAATAAATTTAAAAAAAGAAAGGAGAAAAAAAAAGAAGACATTTAAATCATTTCTTAGAATGTAATCTATTGCTTCTTACATATTCTGCAGTTTACATTGTGAGTAAGCAGCACAGTTATGATTATTATTATGTTTTTTTTTTAGGAAGCTTCCTCAATAAAGACTGGAAAATCAATGGTGAAAGGACTTGATTATATATATATATTGCTTTTTTCATCATTGAAAAGTGCTAATGACACTCATTATTTTTGACTCATTTCCTGGCTGGACCTTGTAGGCTTTGTAGCTTTGTGTTTTTGCCATCATAAAAACACAATAAAACAATTGAAGTTTGATTAGAGGCTTTTGTAGGGGGTAGTTTGTTAGTTTTAACAGTTTTGGCCATGTTCCCTCAGCGCTGTTAGAAACACTCGAGTGTTTGTCATCACAACTTGAACAAAATTTGGTTCCCCTCGGAAGCTGCAAGATGCCAAAATAGCCCAAAAGCAAATATAAGAATAAATCAAAGCAGAAACTGAAGCTCTTAACCGTGTTTTACTGTGCACTGTGAGCAAATCCTGGAGTTGGACTGCAATAAAATATGAGGCATTTTCCAACAAACACAAGAAGCAATATGTCATTAATGGGCACGTCAGGAGGTGGAGAATTACTTGGGATTTGCTGAGAAATTAACGATTGGGAGGCTGGGAAACACAACTTTGTGTTTCAGCTTTTTCTTTGCTGTTTGGTTCAACGCTCGTTTATAGAAAGCAGAGCAGAAATGGAATGGAAATAAAGCTCTTTCCACCCCCCCTGGATTAAACCAGGAGGGCTGAACCTTCAGCAGCCTGGCTCTGTTAGCATCCTGCTTAAAATGCTCAGAAGTCTTCACACCAATCTTCTGTGCTACCTTTAAAAAGAGAACTGCAGGTTTTTGTTGTTGGTTTTTTTCTGGGCATGCCAACAGAAATGGCCAAACACAACAAAATAGGCAACTAAAGTTCTCTAGCCCCACTCTTTTCTTTCAATGAAGGTCTTGAGCCAGCAGTTCCCAAGTAGAAGAGAACCACCAGGGAGATCAGCACGGTCCCAAAAGGCACCCGTGAGATTTCCATCTGTTTGTGTTTTACTCATAAGAAATCAGTAAAAATGAAGACGTGGCTTTAATTTGTTCTCATAGCCAATGAAAGGCTTTTCACACCTGGGCATCAGTGCCACCAGCCAGCCATGGAGTGCACAACCCCAATGGATTTGGCCCTGAGGTCCACCCAAACATCAAGACTTACTCCGAATTACCTTCAGCCACAAACAGCCTCCTCCCATCTGTGTTCCTTCCACTGCAGACAAAGGGGCCGTTCACACTTCGAATGCTCCCACAAGCAGGGGAGGAAGGAGGTGCTTCAGCAAGCCATCAGTTTTCTAGAAAATGGATAAAAGGAGTCTATGAAACTGTGGTATCATTGCCACATTGGGTTGAAACCAGCCTACGGCTTCAGAAACCAAGAAAAAGCCAAGCCTAACTTTGATGCCACACATAAAAAATACATTAATTTTGAAAAGAACAGCCCAACGTTTCCATACATTTCAATGCCCTCTGCTGTCCTCCAGTTTACATGCAGCAGGAAGCAGGGATCATCCCACGCTTGCAGGCTGGGTTCATACACTTCATGCCACAGCTGGGAATCCTAACACTGCCCCACACAGTCAATAATGATCACAAAGCAAATTATTTGCTTTATCTCTGGCTTGTTATCTTTACACAGGGGGCCACTACCGTTTCCAGGAACCCCTGCTTCCATCTCCCAGTTGACTCATTTCATTGCAACGATTTTCTGTCTCTTCTGAGGAGGAAATGACCGACGGCGACCGCGTGCATCATTCATTTTTTTTTTTCTTTTCTTTTTTTTTTTGTCTGAATAAAAGCAGAACCGGGTGCTCCGATGACTACTTCTTTATTTTAGACTTTTAAATATACCAGAACAATATGAGTCAGTCTTTCAAAGAAGCTGAAATAGCGAGTTGCCAGGAACTGGGCTTACACCAAAGTTACACCATGGGCTTTTCTCCTACGACGACTTGCAGGTGTCGACCTGCCCAAGAAGGCACCAAGAACCATTGAGAAACTCCAGCTAGAAATGGTGCCTGAGCTCCACAGGCTCCAGTTCCTACTCTTGCCCACCAAAAAATGACAAAAATTCCCTCCAATTCCTTATGCTTTCATAACACGAAATGGGAATAGATCACCGAGAAAGGAGCTCTCACCAGAAACCTGACTTTTCCTGCTCAGAAATAATTCCCAGTACTACAGATCTGCGTTTCCTTACGACTGCTGCAAAGGTTCCATCTCACCCAAAGATGGATATCAGAAAAAAGTGTTTTACAGTGAGGGTGGTGAAGCAGTGGAACAGGTGGTGGATGCCTCATCCTCAGAGGCGTTGAGGGTCAGGATCTGGGAACCTTGATGGAGCTGCAGGTGTCCCTGTTCACTGCAGGAGAGTTGGACCAGCTGGCCTTTAAGAGTCCCTTCCAACTCAAACCATTCAGAGCCTCTGGTTCTATGAAATATTATGTCATGGGAACTTGGAAAGCCTTTTTTTTTTTTTTGTTACTGCTTGGCTAGCAATGCTAACAAGAATTCCAGTCGGTAGGATCTAGGAGAACTCTGGCAAATCAGTGATCACAACTACATGGTCAGAGCATGAGATTGCCATTGCTGAATATGCAAGATAATGGAAAAAAATCCCTTATTCTTCCCCATGTCTTGGGTTCTTCACTGCTTAGCAGCCCTTTGCACACTGCTGCTGTGGTTGTGTCCAGGGGATCAGACCCAGCCAGCACGGGTTTGTGAAAGGCAGGTGGTGCTTGACCAACCTCATCTCTTTCTACGACTGGGTGACCAGTCTGATAGATGAGGGAAGGGCTGTTGATGTAGTCTTCCTAGACTTCAGCAAAGCCTTTGACACGGTCCCTCACAGGCTTCTTCTGGGGAAACTGGCTGCCTGTGGTCTGAACAGATAGACACTTCTTTGGGTAAGGAACTGGCTAGAGGGCTGTGCCCAGCGGGTCGTGGTGAATGGAGTAAAGTCCAGCTGGCGACCCGTTTCAAGTGGTGTCCCACAGGGGTCGGTACTGGGGCCAACCTTGTTTAATATCTTTATTGATGACCTGGATGAGGGGATTGAGTGTACCCTCAGCAAGTTTGCAGATGATACCAAGCTGGGAGGTGGTGTTGATCTGCCTGAGGGTAGGGAGGCCCTTCAGAGGGACTTAGACAGGCTGAACCGCTGGGCTGAGGTGAATGGGATGAGGTTCAACAAGGCCAAGTGTCGGGTCCTCCATTTTGGCCATAACAACCCCATGCAGCGTTACAGGCTTGGGGATGAGTGGCTGGATGAGTGTGAAGAAGAGAAAGACCTGGGGGTGTTGGTTGATGCTCAGCTGAACATGAGCCGACAGTGTGCCCAGGTGGCCAAGAGGGCCAACGGCATCCTGGCCTGCATCAGAAATGGTGTGGCCAGCAGGAGCAGGGAGGTGATCATCCCCCTGTACTCAGCACTGGTGAGGCCGCACCTCGAGGATTGTGTTCAGTTTTGGGCCCCTCACTACAGGAAAGATGTTGAGGTCCTGGAGCGTGTTTAGAGAAGGGCAATGAAACTGGTGAGGGGTCTGGAGCACAAGTCTGATGAGGAGCGGCTGAGGGAGCTGGGATTGTTCAGTCTGGAGAAGAGGAGGCTCAGGGGAGACCTCATTGCACTGTACAACCTCCTGAAGGGAGGCTGTGGTGAAGAGGGATTTGGCATCTTCTCCCAGGCAACGAGCAGGACACGGGGTAATGGCCGCAAGTTGCATCAGAGGAAGTTCAGGTTGGACATAAGGAAGAACTACTTCTCTCAGAGGGTGGTCAGGCACTGGAATGGCTGCCCAGGGAGGTGGTGGAGTTCAAGACGCGTCTGGATGACGTGCTGCGTGACATGGTTTAGTGCTAGTGGTGGCAATGGTGATGAGGATTCGGTTGGACTGGATGATCTTATAGGTCGTTTCCAACCTTGTGATTCTTGTGATTCTTGTGAGATGTTGAGATCTTCAACAGTGTGACACCGACCTCTGGCAAGGCCTTGAGGAAGAAGTGGCTTACAAATGAGCTGTCACGCTGTTGTCCCATTGGTCTTTCTCCTTTATTTTTTTTCATAGAATCTTAGAAACTTTAAGGTTGGAAAAGATCTGCACAATCATCAAGTCCAACCATCAACCCATCACTACCAGGGCCCCTCATGGAATCATTAAGGTTAGAAAAGACCTTCAAATATTCAAGTCCAATTGCCAGGACGTCACCACCATACCTACTGAGAATCACAGCTACCCAGCATAGAAAAATACAAAAAATACAAAAATACACCCAACCAGAGCTAAATCAAAGCCTGGACACTTCAGCAACATATGCTTTGCACAAAGCGTTTGGATGAGCCCAGATCACCCTGTTCCTTATTTATCTGAATTATTTATCTACTTTTTCTCCTTAAGTGTACGTTTGCTCCTCCCATCCTTGGGGCAGAATCATCCCCAGGCTCTGCATTTCAGTGTTGTCAAGAAGAACAACATTCCTGGGGGTTTAACAACCCGTGGGACCAGATGCTTGAAAATATATTGGAAAAGAATCCTATTTAAAGAGGGCAACCAAGTCACTCTTTATGTCCCTCACTGTACAGGGGCACTTCCCTAAGAACACGATGGAGGTGAAGATAGATAGCTTTTCCCCAGGAAAGCTGGGGAGGGACTTTTTATAAGGGCAGGTAGTAATATGACAAAGGGAAATGGTTTTAAACTGGAAGAGGGTAGATTTAGAAGGTAGATTTAGCTGTGAGTGAAAGCAATGGGGGCTGAAGGATGGGGATGAGGGGAGAGCCACAAAATTGCTCTGAGGGGATCAGGGACGGAGGTGAGGGAAAGGGCCAAGAGCTGAGGGAACAAATCAGGGGACTGAGGGAAGAAGCTGAAGGAAGGGACTGGAGCCTGTGAAGGAAAAATCTGTGAGAGAAAAATCTGTGAGGGAAGGGGCTGTGGACAACAGAGCTGAGGTCTGTGAGGGAAGGGATGATGGAACGCAATAGGGGCTGAACTTCATGAGGGAAGGGGCAGAGGGACGGCAGTGAGAGCTGAGATCTGTGAGGGAAGGGGCTGAGGGATGGCAATGGGGGCTGA